ACCAAGTGTATTTCTGCTATACTGCAATGTAGAAATTCTCTACAATCAGGGGGGGAGGGGGGAGGCTGGGAAGGGATGTGAAGGGTAAACCAAAGGAGGAGGCTGCAATGCTTGGTAAGAAATGTACGCATTATCCTGCCCATGTAATTGTAACCCCTCTGTACAGTATGTTCACAAATAAAAAATAAATAAATAAATAAAAAGAAATTCTCTACAATCAAACATTTCTAGATATGCCGTTACTGGGGCTTGAACCTAGGGCATGGACATTGTCCTCTGGGGTTTTTTTTGTTTGTTTGTTTTTAACTCAAAGTTGGTGCTCTACCATTTGAACTACAGTTCCACTTCTGTTTGCTGGTTTAATTGTAGATGAGAGTCTCTTGAATTTTCCTGCCCAGGCTGATTTTGAACCAAGATTCTCAGATCTCAGCCTCCTAGGTAGCTAGAATAACAGGTGTGAGCCACTGGCACCTGGCTAATATTTGTGTTTTAGTCAATTATCCTCCGGTGGTTCTAGTGGTTTCTCCTCCATCCATTGGTCCTCCCACCATTCTTCTGCCCAGAGTGTCTGAGGTGCCTTTGTGTGATAAATCAGCCCATGCAGGCTTCTGCTAAGAAGGGCTTCTGCCCTTGAGGGCAGATCCACAGCGGTGCCAGGACTGGGGAACCCAAAACTTCCTGCCCATTGGCTGCAGCTCCACCCACAATCCTCTTAAGCACGCTGGGACTTCAGCTAGCTCTGCAATGTGGTCTCCGGTCCTTTCCACACAGACAGAAGGCACCCTCCATCTGCCCTGTTACCAGGCAGAGAACAGAACTCTACGAGGCCTGTCACCCTAAAACCCCTGACTCTCCAGTCTTTACAAATTTGATCTAATTTCAGGAAGTCAGGGTAGCACTTTTCTCTAGAGACCACTCTGGGGCTCTCCTCCTCTCTCCCACATCCTGAGCAATGTCACCTAATCCCAGCAGGTAACTGAGGTGAGTGTGGGGAGTGGTAAAGAAAGGGCTGATTCTTCCAGGGCCTATATTTTTCTAAACTTCTGCACCTTTCATCTGGACCTCAGCTTTTGGAACTCAAAGGTGCATTTGCTCTGTAACTGCAGAAACAGCTTCCCTGGAGACTGATGCATGACATTTTATTGTGACTGAGTCACAATAAAACACGCCAAGCAGAGAGAAAGGGATCTGTGAAAAACAGATTGCAGAACTCTTCAGCGCCACCTGCAGGCAGCTTTGTTGATGTTGCTGTCTCAACAAAGCTATCCAAGAAAAACAACTGGGGGATTTGCATAACGTTATTTCACTTTAATCCGTTTATTTGCTCATAAACACCGATTTGACTTGAGGGGATCTAATGTATCCAACCATTTTAAAAAAACACACAATTCCCTCTGTGTTTTCTTCCTATAAATTTCCAGTACTCTTCCACTAGTAATATATAGGAAGAGAGAAAATAATGAATTTCATTTAGACCATGTGCAACCCTCATTTTTCTTGGTTCCTAGTGGAATTCATTTCAAGCTTTGCAGAACAAAACAAAAAGAAAGAGATAGAGGGAGTCGTGTGGAGGGCAAACTCAGACAGTGGGCAGCAGGGCCTGGTTCTTAGAATTCAAAGGTCTGAATGTTCTGTGGATGGTTTCCATGAAACTTTAATAAAAGTAATTTTTACTTCTAAGAGTAGCTTCTTTAATACTGGTAAGCATTGGATTCATCTTGAGAAAGTTTTATTTTTCCATGTCTACTGTTTTGTATTTTCAGATTTTCTAATATCTCTTGTTGTCAGCTTTTGACCCTCTAGGAAAAGTGTGTGTATGTGTGTTCAGGTCCTTTCTAGAACTTCTGTTGCTAAACTGATGACACCTAAGCATTTGGTAAGAAAAACACTATGTACAGGGACATGTCAAAAGGAGACCTGGAAGAATTTCACGCACCACCCCAGCTCCACGATTAAGAGAAATCATTGCACCAGGTGTCAGTGGCTCACACCCATAATTCTAGCTACTCAGGAGGCTGAGATCTAAAGATTAAGGGTCAAAGCTAGCCTGGAAAGGAAAGCCTTGGAGACTCTTACCTCCAATTAATCACCAAAAAGATGGAAGTGGAGCTGTGACTCACGTGGCAGAGAGCTAGCCTCGAAAGTGGAAAAATAAAAGCTAGGGGACAGAGCCAAGCTCTGAGTTCAAGCCCCAGTAATGGCACAATAAGTGAATTAATAAATAAATAATAACAACAGTCTAATAGAGGAAAGAGTGCATGTTTGATCCTGTGGTCCTTAGAAGAAGAAGCAGGTGCCGCTAGACCCTGTGGAAACAAGGCTCAGCCTCACAGACACATAGATGAAGGCAAATAAAGACCACATGAGCCAGGCGCCAGTGGCTCACACCTTTAATCCTGGCTACTCAGGAGGCTGAGATCTGAAGATCTTGGTTCAAAGCCAGCCTGGGCAGGAAAATGTGTGAAACTCTTATCTCCAATAACCACCAGAAAACCAGAAGTGGCACTGTAGCTCAAGTAGTAGAGTGCTAGCCTTGAGCTAAAGAGCTGAGGGACAGCGCTCAAGCCCAGAGTTCAAGCCCCATGACCGACAAAAAAAAAAAAAAAACCACATGATACAACATAAATGTGACATTCAACAACAGAGAAGAACTTCAAAAACCTTTAAATAAGAAGGAGGGATGTCCGCAAATGGTGAAGTCAGAGGTCCCAGAGTCTCTCTCCTGCAAGGAAACATTAATTCTAACACCAGAGGACCAGCTGCCCTCATAAGAAATCTAGAAACTAGTTTGGAGGTTGCTGCAGGCCAGCAAGTTAGAAGCCAATTGCATTGACACTCCATAGGGAGAAAATGGCCTGAAGTTACCAGAGCCCCGCCCCCCACACCTCCACCATACCCCCAACACAAGGCAAGAAACACAGGAGGGACAACACAACTCCTGCCTTGTACCTGAGGAGGGAAAGGGATGGTGTGTCCACTCAGTACTGTGTTGGCTTTACCATGACTGAATACCTGACATAGGCTACCCATGAAGTAAAGGATAATTTATTTAGCTCACCATTTCGGAGGTTCAAAGACATGGTACAGCCTCAGTCCAGTTCTGGTGAAAGCAGAGGCTAGCAGCTCAACATGGAGGGAGCATGTATAGCAGAAAGCTGTCAAGACTCAAACCAGAGCAGAAAGAGAAGAGAGAGAGAGGCTAGAGTTCCCTTCTAGGTCATGCCCCCAATCACCTAAAGATCTCCCACTAAGCTCCACCTTGAATTTCAGGGCCTGGGCACTGTTCCTGTGCCACAGCACCACTTCCAGCTTTTTCTGAGTAGTTTATTGGAGATAAGAGTCTCATGGACTTTCCTTCCCAGGCTGGTTTGGAACCACAATTTTCAGATGTCAGCCTCCTGAGTAGCTAGGATGACAGGTGTGAGCCACAAGCACCTGGTTTGGGGCCCACCTTTTAAAGGTTCATCTCACTTCCCAGTATCAATACCCATGGCCGGGCAACAGTGGCTCACGCCTGTCATCCTAGCTACTCAGGAGGCTGAGATCTGAGGATTGTGGTTCAAAGCCAGCCTGGGCAGGAAAGTTCGTGAGTCTCTTATCTCCAATAAACCACTAGAAAACCGGGAGTGGCGCTGTGGCTCAAGCAGTGGAGCGCTGGCCTTGAGCTGAAGAGCACAGGGACAGTGCCCAAGCCCAGAGTTCAAGCCCCACGACCAACCAAAAAAGAAAAATACCCAGGACAGCAAACCTTTACATGTGGACCTTAAGGTGATGCTCAACATCCAAGCCTAGCAGCTGGCTTCTGTCTTGTCAGAATCTAAACATTGACAAGAACAACCTGGGGGGGGAGGGGCAGGAGGACAGGTATGGAAGTATTGAAAACAAGCCTTCAACCTGCTGGACATAGTATGACTGCAGTGTCACGTACAGACACTAGGCAGTGCACCAGGACCATGGCTTACTATAGTACCAGAGGAGCCACAGTCATTGACAGCATGAGGAATAGAACACAGCAAACCTGGTCATGAGAGAGAACAAGCACCGAAGGAGATACCCCAGAAAAAAAAACTGGGAAGATACCTAAAAAATCAGATGACTATAAAATAGGGTAGGTGTTATGTTTAACTTTTGTTTTGTGGTGCTGAGGTTTGAACTCAGGGCCTTACGCTTGCCAGGCAGGTGGTTTGCTGGCTTGAGCAACACTTTCAGTCCTTAACTTTTTAAGACACTGCCCCGTTGTTTTCAAGGAAATTGTAACATTTTACAGTTCTTTTTTGTGCCGGTACCAGGGCTTGAACTCAGGACCTGGACACTGTCCCTTAGCTTTTTTTGTTCAATGCTGTACAGGAGTGTTCATAAATGTTGTATTTGCAATATTTCCAAATCACAAATAGTTCAAGTCTGCCAACAAGTCAGCAGAAAAGCAAGCTGTGGTTTATCCACACAAGAAATACAGATGACAGGGCTGGGAAGGTGGCTCAGTGGTAGAGCGCTTGCCTTGCATGCCTGAGGCCCTGGGTTCGATTCCTCAGCACCACATAAGCAAAAAGAAAAAAGCTGGAAGTGGCGCTGTGGCTCAAGTGGTAGAGCGCTAGCCTTGAGCTGAAGAGCTGAGGGACAGCGCCCAGGCCCAGAGTTCAGGCCCCAGGACTGGACCCCCCCCCAAAAAAAAAGAAATACAAAAAAAAAAAGAAATACAGATGACAGTCTCACGGTATTTTCTACCCAGGCTGGTTTCCAATCGCGGTCCTCAGGTCTCAGCCTCCTGAATAGCTATGATTACAGGGGAGAGCTACCAAGTGTCTGGCTCTTCTGATTCCTTACAGATTTTCCATTAAACAACTCTTCTCTCAGCCAGCCACTCCATCCCTTTTCCCTGCCCTCTCCTGTCCTGGGTGATTGTTCCTGGCTAGATAAAGAGTAGATTTTTTTTTTTTCCGTTTCCCTTTTAGAGCTCCAGGCCTTCAAGTCAAGTGAAAGTCTGCCTCCATTGGTCCCAGGGTCCTCAGAGCACAGCAGAGAATGAACCGCAAATGCTGAAGTCCGGGGGCCCCCTACTGGTGGCAGAAGGTGACACACTCCTCCTCAGGTGTATGGTGGCCAGCTCCCTGTGTGGATGGATGACAGGATAAAATGGATCATGGTGAGCACTCAGGACAAACAAGAGACTTACAACTTCCAGCATGGCGTCTTCCCTGGGGTTATACCCATGAGCCAGCAAACGCTGGAGCCTCTGAGGTGCCATTACTCCATCCACATCCTCAGTGTCACCAAGGAACATGCTGGAACCTACCTGTGTATGAGGCTCCCAGAAGACTCAGCAGGGAAGGTGGATGGGGGCACCTGGTGCAGGTGAGGGGTGAGTACAAGGCCCTGTGGCTTCAGGACTGATCAGGCTGTTACACAATTAAAAAAAATCACAGCAGCTTGCTGAGTGCTGGTGGCTTGGCTCACATCTAGCTTTTCAAGAGGCTGAGATGTGAGGATCACATCTCACATGAGACTCTTATCTTCAGTTAAACCACCAGGAAACCAGAAGTGGCTCTATGGCTTTAGCAGAAAAGGCCATTGATAGCACCTAGGCCCTGCATCCAAGCACCATAACTGAGCCCTCTCCCCCTCCTCCCCCACCCCGTCCCCAGCTCTTTTGCTGGCAGCTGGGATGATTGTACTCCTTGAGTCTCATGCCAGGGCCCAGAGTGGAGGGGTAGCAGTCACTCAGGGTGTGTTTGTCTCATGGAGCTGGCTGAAGCCCAAGAGGTCCCTTTGTAACTGCCCAAGTCCACCCTAAGCACGTATTGTGTCTGCTAACAGCCCATTGGCTACAGCAAGTCATGGGGCTCAACTCCTACTGCAAGGACTCCAAGTGGAGTCAGAACCTGGGGCTGGTGACCTGACAGCTGGTGATGTGGCCCTGATGTCTAGAGTTCCACCCATGGTAGCTTGTATATGCAGGACTTAGATCTATCATTCTATAGGAGTGTGTACTGTTCTTTTTTCCTTGCCTTGCTATGTAAGCAAGCTATGTGAGTCCCAGGCTGGTCTGAGACTCACAGTTCTCCTACTTTAGCCCCCTGAGTGCTAGGATTACAGGTATGTGCCACCATGCCCAGTTTAGCAGTGTAGGACTTGGTTGATTGGATTGTCTTCCTGTTTATTTGTTTGTTTGTTTTCTCAGTAGTAAGGGTTGCTTTTGGATTGGTTTGTTTTTTTAGTTTAGTTTAGTTGTTTTGTTTTGTTTTGTTGGTGCTGGTCCTGGGGCTTAAACTTAGGACCTGGGCACTGGTCCATGTGATTTTTTAGCTCAAGGCTAGCACTCTACCATTTTATCCATAGCTCTACTTCTGGCTTTTTGGGATTAATTGGAGATAAGAGTCTCAAAGACTTTCCTGCCCAGGCTGGCTTCAAACCCTGATTCTCAGTTCTCAGCCTCCTTAGTAGCTTGGATTACAGGCATGAAGAACCACCAGCACCCAATTCAGTAGTCGGGTTTGAACTCAGCCTTGCACTTACTAGACAGCTGCCCTGTCTAGTATTTAATTTTTTTCTCGTGGGGTCTCTCATCTTTGCCTAGGGCTAGCTTCCATTGGATATCCACCTGCCTACATCCTCCCACTGCCCACATCCCTGGGATCATAGACACACACCACCATGCCTGGCTTATCGATTGAGATGAGGTTTCACTAACATTTTGCCTGTGTTGCCCTTGAACTTCAATCTTCTCAAACTCTGCCTTTCAAATAGCTTCCAAGGGATTACAGCCATGCCCTACCATTCCTGGCTGATCACTCTAAGTACAAGTACATAACATGTAAACTAGGCAGCAGTGTGTGCCTGACAACTCACTGGCGGATCAAGTAGAACAGTGGACACGAGACCACCCAGGTGCTGTGGACAGGGACAGTCACTTTTGCTTGATGCCCACATTGCCAAAAGATTTCCTGGCTCAGCCGGGCGCTGGTGGCTCACGCCTGTAATCCTAGCTACTCAGGAGGCTGAGATCTGAGGATCGCGGTTCAAAGCCAGCCCGGGCAGGAGAGACTGTGAGACTCCTATCTCCAATAAACCACCAGAAAACTGGAAGTGGCGCTGTAGCTCAAGTGGTAGAGCACTCGCCTTGAGCTGAAGAGCTGAGGGACAGCGCCCAGGCCCAGAGTTCAAGCCCCACGACCGACAAAAAAAAAAAAAAAAGATTTCCTGGCTCCTTCCAGGTTGAGATGGTTACTCCTCTGAGGTCCTGAAATCCCGTGGGGTCCTAGGTCCTCTGTTTCCGTCCCTGGGTACTTTCAGGCTCTCTCTGCCAACACACTGAGAATGACTTCCAGCAGAAGGAATTCAACAAGGATGATTTTTTTTGCCTTCAGGCTCTGGGGACCTGAACCAGATGTCTGGATCAGCCAGTCACAGGAGCTGGTATCTGTGACCAGAGACAATGACCTCCTGAACTGCCCGGCCCTCCAGCAGTGACATCCATATTTGTCTACGTCATCTCTGCTGAGGATGCTGGCACCTACTGCTGTGTAAAATTCCAGAGGAAACCCAACAGGCAATACCTGTCTGGTCAGGGCACCAAACAGATGTCCTGAGAGTAAAAGGTAAGACAAACTGCAGGGGAGGTGTTGAGGGCAGGTGGTCCCAAAGGCCTGACCAAGCCAGCTCTGTGAAGCCTCTGTATTGTTATATAAGCTGTTCCCTAGAAGGCTTTGTTTTGTCCTCTTAAAAAAATCTCCTATTCCTTCAGAACCCAGTGTAAAAAAAAAAATCCCTCCTCAATGAATTTTTTGTCTCCTCCCAGCCACAGTTAACCTCTTCCTGTTCTGGCCATCATCAAACTCTGCATAGACCATTTAACCATTCAAGACATGTCTGCCACCTGCTTATTGAATGTCCTACTAAGAGCTGGAAATGCTGATAGAAAATCAGACACGGGCTGTGCCCCATAGACACACTGCCACGGTCTCTATAGCTACAGAATATGATCTCTGGCCCCAACCCAGGTAGAACCTAGGCTATCCTAGTGATGCCAGCTCTTGGCCCAGGGGCTCATAATGTGGGGAAGGGTGAGGGGAAGCATGAGACAGGCCCTCCCTCTTACAGCAAAACCATCTTTCCCACAGAGAAAGACTTTTCCCGGAAACCTGCAACCCAGATCGCTCCAACAGATGAGAGTACTAATCATCTCCAATGAAGTTAATGGGAGCCCACATACTCGGCACAGAGGACGCCACAGACAACTTCGTTATGGGAAGGGAGCCATTTGTTCTAGATTTCCAGCAAGCTCACACAAGTCCAGCTCCGCTGCAGAGCAGGGACTCAGAGAACCATGTTCTAGCAGCCTAGCCAATAGATAGACGGACAGAGCTGTCTGCATGGGCAGTCTTGCCTACGCAGTTGTGAATATCCCACAACGATGTATTAAATAAGGTTGAGCCATGAGGCTACTTATAACAGCACTGAAGGGTGTGGCTGTGGCGCAAGGATTCTGGGATGGAGCCTTGCACCTTGATAGCTGGGGTCTGATTCCATGAGCAAAGGGGGAGTGGAGGGGATGAGAATGGAGAGCCAGCCTCATGGGCTGTGTGGTTCCAGTGAGATCACAACTGTCAAGTGCCAGGAAGTATCTGGGACATCACCTGTTAACACGTGGTAACTCCACGTGGTAACGTGGAGCTTGGGGTAGAGGCGTTCAGGTTAGCCAGCCTGAGGCTTTGTTTCTCATTTAAAATTTGTTTCTTCATTCGTTCATTCATTTATTCCATAGTGCTGGGAACTGAATCTAGGCCCTCACCTTTGCTAGGCAAGGGTTCTACCACATGAGCCATACTCCCAGCCCTTTTGGTTTTTAGTTTTTTTTTTGAGATAGGGTTTCACAGGCTGCCTTGGAACTCTCCCTGCCTCTACCTCCTGAGTAGCCTGCATTATAGGTGGATGTCACTGTGGCTGGCTTTTTTTGTTCTTTTTGAACTGACACATAATTGTATTAATTTGTAGGGTAGGGTGGGATAATTCAATCCATGAATAAGGTGTGTGATGGCTTCTTTAACATATATGTGAGTCTGTCTCCTCTCCAGAGACTGGGCCATTACTCTGTATGGGAGTGTGACTTCCAGGATTGCATTAATTAGGAAGTACATGGTATGGAGTCTGAGGCAAAGAGGTGGAGCAGCCAATGCATGAGAGCAGATTTCCACTGCTTTGGGAGGTCAGAGGTTGAGATGGCATTGGTCTAAGCCAGATGTCAGTCAAGGCCAAGGCAGAGGGAGGAGTGGGCTTTGATCAGTGTAGAAAGGATCTGGTTCCAGGGACTACACAGCAGCTGGGCCCAGCCCACCCCAGGAACACAATGAGGTGTGGGCTATGGGGGTACAGACCAGGGGCCCTGGTGTGGATAAGCTCTCCCTTCTGTCCCTCAGGCCTCTTGTCTGTGCTCACAACTGTGGTCCTAGGGATGAAGGCAGTGGCCTTGGCTGAACTTCTACTGGCCCTGGCTGCCTGCTAGTGGATCTATGGGCAAGGAAAATCCAAGTCCTCACCTCCAGAAGAGCCAAGCTCAGCTCAGCAAGGGGTAAGAGGCAAGAGTAAGGGGTCAACCCTGGAGTAGATCCTCTGAGGTGGACAGGAGCCAGGGACTCCTACCATTGCTCAGCCTCCAAATCCAGCCTCCACATGCTCCCCAGGCCTGAGGACAAACTCTAAGATTTCTATATCTGTTTGGATTACTTGGTGAAACTCCTCTCTTGGTGCTGGGTTTCCCTCTGTGGCCTTCTCTACCCTCAGACTGTTCCAGTCCTCTGGTTCTTCAAGGTTTCCACTGGCTGGGCTTCTCAGGTCGCCAAGCCAGACTACCTGTGCCCCTCCATTTGCATATCCTTCCCTCTGACATCTTTTTCCTTCTTTCCTAACCCTCCAGGGGCTACAATAGTTGGGATGCAGGCGTATACAACTGTAACAAAGCCCTTAAGAATATGTCTTTTTTGTGTGTATGTGTAACAGTCCTGGGGCTTGAACTCAGGGCCTAGGGCCACAGCTCCTCTTTGGGGTTTTATTTGGGAAGTTCATTGGAGATAAGAGTCTCACAGACATTCCTGGCCAGACTGGCTTTAAACCTCAATCCTCAGACCTCAGCCTCCTGAGTGGCTGAGATTAGAGGCATGAGCACCAGTGCCCAGCTTAAGTAAATGTCTTAAACCAGAAGAGCTTATTTCTCCAGCAACATCCTTCCCTGGGCATTCTGGTCAACCCTGGTATGAAGGGCCAGGACTCTGTGATCTTGTGGGTACTCAGTCTTCATTTGGTAAGAGGCAAGAGTAAGGGGTCAACCCTGGAGTAGATCCTCTGAGGTGGACAGGAGCCAGGGACTCCTACCATTGCTCAGCCTCCAAATCCAGCCTCCACATGATCCCCAGGCCTGAGGACAAACTCTAAGATTTCTATATCTGTTTGGATTACTTGGTGAAACTCCTCTCTTGGTGCTGGGTTTCCCTCTGTGGCCTTCTCTACCCTCAGACTGTTCCAGTCCTCTGGTTCTTCAAGGTTTCCACTGGCTGGGCTTCTCAGGTCGCCAAGCCAGACTACCTGTGCCCCTCCATTTGCATATCCTTCCCTCTGACATCTTTTTCCTTCTTTCCTAACCCTCCAGGGGCTACAATAGTTGGGATGCAGGCGTATACAACTGTAACAAAGCCCTTAAGAATATGTCTTTTTTGTGTGTATGTGTAACAGTCCTGGGGCTTGAACTCAGGGCCTAGGGCCACAGCTCCTCTTTGGGGTTTTATTTGGGAAGTTCATTGGAGATAAGAGTCTCACAGACATTCCTGGCCAGACTGGCTTTAAACCTCAATCCTCAGACCTCAGCCTCCTGAGTGGCTGAGATTAGAGGCATGAGCACCAGTGCCCAGCTTAAGTAAATGTCTTAAACCAGAAGAGCTTATTTCTCCAGCAACATCCTTCCCTGGGCATTCTGGTCAACCCTGGTATGAAGGGCCAGGACTCTGTGATCTTGTGGGTACTCAGTCTTCATTCCAGGAAGCAAGACTATGGAGGGAAGTTGAGGAAAGGAACCTGCCCCTACCCTTCAAGGGCACACCAGAGAATTTGTTTGCCCTGCTCAACTCTCATTGGCTGAAATGTGGTCACATGATTACAACTAGCTGCAAAGAAGGCTGGGAAATGTAGTGCTTACTCTGGCAGTACTGTGCCTCATTGAAAATTTTTCACCAGACTAGAGAATGGATGTCAGGGAATAAGGTAATCATCTCCACCCCTGGGACATGAAAGGTATGAAGCCTAAATTGAGTTCCCTGCTGCCTCCCCTTACCTCCACTGGGGCAACATAAAGTAGAGTAGTACAATAGTTCTCAAGAAGAAAGATCGTAATGGCTAAGCCTGGTTGCCATTACTTGGGCAGTTACTACTGCCACCTAGTGGGCAGAGGCCAACAGTACGCCCAACAGCTGCTGGACACCTCTGAGGCTCCACCCCACTGCAAAGCAAGACCTTCCCTGACTTCTAACCCTAAAGCCTCTGAGCCTTCACTGGACACTTTAGTGATTCATCTGTCACCTGAGTATGGAGGACAAAAACAAGGACTTCCCCGTGTGTGAGAACCCTTTTGTCCACCGGAGGCCGAGTTTGCACTGGCTGTACTATATGGACGTTGAATCCATGTGAATTCCCATTTTCCATGTGTGCATTTTAAATAGCACCCACTGTAGAGGAAGTGGAGCAGTCTGCAAGGTTGTCACTGTAACAAGCAGAAAATCAGCTCCAACTAAGTCAATGGTGATGTTAATTGAGACTGAAAAGGGGTAGGTCACCAAACTAATTGATATCCATAAAGATAGGACGGTAGGATTTAAAATATCCACCACATCTAACCACATCCTAGGCTCTGCAACCTTTGATCATGTCCTTATATGACTGTGAGAAAAGCCTTTTTTCTATCAAAGTAGTTTTCTTCCTTTCTGTTAATCTTGTGAGAAGTGTTTTTCTGAAAAGTGCCAGCTTTGGCCAGCAGGTTGGCCCCTGTTAATTACATTTTAGTTACATCCTTTTTCTGCTGCACTTTAAGACATCCTGTTAGCAGGGAGAGGGTGGCTCACACCTGTAATCCTAGCTACTCAGGAGGCTGAGATCTGAGGATCCAGGTTCAAAGCTAGCCCAGGCAGGAAAGTCCATGAGATTCTTTTTTTTTCTTTTTGCTTATGTGGTGCTGAGGAATCGAACCCAGGGCCTCAGGCATGCAAGGCAAGCACTCTAGCACTGAGCCACCTTCCCAGCCCAGTCCATGAGATTCTTATCTCCGGTTAACTACCAGAAAACAGAAGTGGCACTGTGGCTCAAGTGGTATAGAGCACTAGCCTTGAACTGAAGAGCTGAGGGATAGCACCTAGCCCCTGGTTATCTAAACCACATCCCTTTTCAGATTGTGAACTTGAGCTCAGCCAATGCAAGCAGAGGAGCAGAGCCTACTGAGTTAGGGATAAAAAAAAAAGGGGGAGCTGTGTGCTTAAGTGTCAGATTTCTGACTGATAGTGCACCCCTTGGCAGAAGTAAGCCTTTTGCCTTGTAAAGTTCTTTTCAAGTT